GCTACATAGATGACACTATCCCAGGTTATCTTGTTGGATAACACATCCCTGGGTTACCCTGGGTGGATAACACAAGCGTGGGCTATCCTATGTGGAAAACACTACCCAGGGTTATCCTGGGTGGATAACACTAACCTGGGTTATCCTGGGTGGATAACACAATCCTGGGTTATCCTGGGCAGATAACAGTACCCTGGGTTATCCTGTGTGGATAACACAATCCTGGGTTATCCTGGGCAGATAACAGTACCCTTGGTTATCCTGGGTGGATAACACTACCCTGGGTTATCCTGGGAAGATAACAGTACCCTGGGTTATCCTGAGTGGATAACACAATCCTGGGTTATCCCGGGTATATAACACTACCCAGGGTTATTGTGGGTGAATAACACTACTCTGGGTTATCCTGGGTGGATAATACTACCCATGGTTATCCTGAGTGGATAACACTACCCCTGGAATTTCCTGGATAGATAACACTACCCTGTGTTATCCTGGTTGGATAACACTATCCTGTGTGGATAACACTACCCCTGGGTTTTCCTGGGTGGATAATGCTGCCCTGGGTTATCCTGAGTGAATAACACTATCCTGGGTGGATGGCAATCCCACTGGTTATCCTAGGTGGATAACACTACCCTCGGTTATCCTGGGTAGATAACACTCCCCTGGGTTATCCTTGGTGCATAAGACTACCCTGGGTTATCCTGTGTTGATAACAGTACCCTGGGTTATCCTGGGTCAATAACACTACCCTGGGTTATCCTGGTTGGATAACACTACCATGGGTTATCCTGGTTGGATAACACTACCCTGGGTTATCCTGGGTGGATAACACTACCCTGGGTTATCCTGGGTGGATAACACTACCCTGGGTTATCCTGGTTGGATAACACTACCCTGGGTTATCCTGGGTGGATAACACTACCCTGGGTTATCCTGGGTGGATAACACTACCCTGGGTTATATAATCATAATGGAACATTCTGGGGTTAAATCAGGTTGATGCGAGGCAGAGGAGGACGCCTCCGTCTCCTGGGAACAAGAGACTATCACGGGCATCACTACCCACCACTAGAGGGCATGAAGGTGGTCAAAGAGAGAGAAAATAAGGGTAAAAATGAGGCAGAAATCTTACCTTAACGACACCATACTTAGTTCACTTTGTTATTGTTGGACTGAGAGGTTGAGGGAATAGAGGAACCGAGAGTTGATTACCGTCAACTCTTTATTTCAACCCTTAAACCCAGATATTATTGTGGTTTACTTGCATGTATATTCTGAATTTGACAGTTTATTACTGTCTATCCTGATGTAAACCATTAAAACGATACCTTATTACCGTTTTCCTTTTTTCAACTTTTTGTATTCAAGATAAAGCTTCAAAATAAGAGGAACTTAAAGACATTTACCATAATTTATATATTTTCAGCAGTTAAACCTTATATTATTAGGATCTGCTCATATTAAAGCCTTTGAAAAGCTGGTTTTATACCCTATAACATATATTTGAACCTTTAAACCCAGACTTTATTACCATTTTCTTTCATTTAATAATTTTTATCAGAGTTAATAATTCAACCAGAAGAGAAGCCGAAAACTTAATACCGTCATCTAATACTGCCCTTAAACAATGACTTAATTAGTAATTTATTGATTTAAGGAGGAGAGCCCTTATTGTTCTCTGCCTTTAACTGAACCTTTAAACTACGACTTTACTGCACGGAAACACAAGCCAACACTGTCCTAAGTAATGTCAAAAATATTACAATTTTGAATTATAATATTACTAAGTAAATACTGTGATGACCTCCTGGTACTCCTTGATTCCTTAAACACAACCTTCTCCTGTATTATTCTGACTGTAACCTGTCTTAAACAAGAAACAATAGTACTCACTCCCAGGATACACAACAGTCTACAACTCTAGAACAAAACAAACTGGGGGAGATATTTCTATCTACTACTGTAATGAACTATCATGTTGTAACACCACTTGCTGCTGTACTGACCAATATGGAGAATATGTTTTTCCAAATTTTAATGTAAAAACCTTATTACTCTTATAACAATTACCTGGAATATACCTGGAGAGGGTTTCGGGGGTCAACGCCCCCGCGGCCCGATCTGTGACCAGGCCTCATGGTGGATCAGGGCCTGATCAACCAGGCTGTTACTGTTGACCACACACAACCAGACGTACAAACCACAGCCCGGCTGGTCAGGTACTGCCTTTAGGTTTCTGTCCAGCTCCTTCTTGAAGACAGCCTGAGGTATATTGGTAATCCCTCTTATGTATGCTGGGAGGCAGTTGAACAGTCTTGGGCCCCAGACACTTATTGTGTTGTCTCTTATCGTGCTAGTGGCACACCTACTTTTCATTGGGGAGACGTTGCATCGTTTGCCAAGTCTTTTGCTTTCATAGTGAGTGATTTTCATGTTCAAGTTTGGTACTAGTCCCTCTAGTATTTTCCAAGTGTATATAATGATGTATCTCTCCCTCCTTCGTGCTAGGGAGTACAGGTTGAGCAACTTCAAGCAGTTATGTCGCCCTCAACCTTCTCTCTACATTTGTTTTATAATTTTTAACAGCCAAGAAAGGCTTCTTCAACTGTTTTATACTCTTAGTTAATTTACCTTGGATCTTAAGGACACTTCAAATATTAATTCTGTAATGGTGGTACAACTCCAGGACATTTTAGTAATATCATGCAATATCATCATAATTTTAATATCTAGTCTATGTTTATTCATATCTTTGATTTAGATTTTAGATTTTGCCACCAAAGTGGCTAGTTTATTGTTCACCCCATATCCATCCTGTGGACGGTAGCGCAAGAGCACAAGGATACACACAAGGCCTAGGAACTAGGCCCAAAAGGGTTAACAGGAGTACATATGGATTTATATCTACATATCTGGAGTACACATTTCTGTTACAAGCAAATTTAGGAAATTTGCTTAGTATATCTGATATCTTATTTCCATTAATAAGATATCTTGATATGTCACATAGGTTATTATACTGTCTGTCTCTATATTCCTCAATAAGTGGACAATTAAGCACATAGTGTTCAAGAGAGTGACCATATACCTGATCACATAATTTGCATTTAGTTTGATCATCATCTGTGTGTCTCCCAAACTGCCAGAAGTACTTGTAACCAAGCCTAAGAGGGCAGTAGGGCAGTTAATTAGTCTTCTTGTTTACCGTCCAATTTCCTCCAGTTTTGGTGCACAAGACAAAGTGTTTTCACTCTTTCTTGAAAATATTTATCAAAAATATACCTCAAACAACAACTCAGAAAAGACTGAAAAAGGACTGATTTACTGAAAATGCCCTTGGGATGCGATTTATTCCTATATGGGACGACATAGGATTGTTTGGACACTTGGTGCCAATGGAAATAAGTCACTCTGTCTGACTTTTTTGTGTTATTCCAGGTTCTCTACACATATGCTGCTATGTATGATAATTCTATGTAACTGTATTTGTGTATACCTGAATAAACTTACTTACTTACTTAATACGATTTTTCTTAAGGACCTATTCCTTTAAATAACTTATCTTTATTTCACGAAAAAATAAAGTTTGTTAGTTATTGGAATGTTGCAAAAAATCTGCCCTTTACTCCCACATAACTCACAAAGTATTTGGAATATTTCCCAAAATTGCTCGAATGAAATTAGAGAAATCTTTATTCTACAATTTCTGTGACTATTATTCAATTTAATTCAGTAATAAAGGAAGAAATAGGTACATTAGGTGAATAAGTTACTTCTGAGATATTGGCCGGGAGCGCCGGCCGGCCCACTGTCTCAAAAAAAAAAAAAAAAAAAAAAAAAATCTCGAAAATCGCGTTTGTTTGGGTGTATTTCTTAGTAAACTGATGTTCTAGTGCAGTTATCCTCTTCAAAACACCGTTTTCTCTTAGTCCAAGACGGCATGGAGAAGAGTAACTTATTTATATCGAAATATTCCCGATGGTCTCTCTCGCCATATTGTGGCCTATTTTATTCAGTCTAGAGTATATAACATGTTTGTATGTTATTTATAGTGTTTATTATATCATATTAGATCAATTGTGATAGATAAATAAGCCGTAGAGTTGATATATAAGTTGATATAAGCATAATATTGAAGAGATTTCTCCTGGCTCTCTTTGGAGCGGGAATATGGCCGAGGGCTCCCAGATGGTTCCTGATTGGCTGGCACTCTACGGATAAGCTCCGCCTACTCTTATATGATGCCAAATAGTCAGTTTATATATTAAAAAGAATCATGCAAGAAAAAGCTATAAAAAAAGGAAAAAAAATCCAAAAAATATATGGGCTGTGAGTAGACGCGCTTCCCATATCGCCGTCACCATACCTGATATAAATGACTATAATTTCTTGTAGAAGCATCGTAGAACATTCATTCTGGTACCATTGTGTTGCCAAAGAGTTAAGGTGACAGACAGCCTAATTTTTTTTTTCCTTTGCTCGATTTCGTTTATTTTTTTGTCACAGACTTTAGGCATATTGAGCCTCATGTGGTGAAAGTTGCATCAAGATCGTCCAATAAATAAAGTTATAAAAAATAAAAATGTGAAAAATTGGACATGGCAACACATAGCAACGCAAGTCAATATTGGCAATCTCGAAATCATTGTTGATAATCACAAATGATAAAGTAATGCCAAATTGACTTTCTAATGGACATAAATATTGCAATAACATGTTTTATGGTACCCCAAAAAAATATTATTATGTCTTGACTTTATTTAATTTTTTTTTTTTTTTGCACTTTACATCAATTTATGCAAAATTGAAAGTATTATTACTCAAGACAACTCCATTACAAAATCAAACAGGCTCCCCTGAACAACTTTTGTAAAATACAGAATGATCGGTTCATAAATAATGGTTTTACCTCAGAAAAATACAAATAAATGCACTTTTGAAAAAATCAACAAATACATTGAACATTACTATACAGTGGGTAAAAATACTCATAGTGCCTTTATACGTTTATTGAGAGTAGAACTGGTTATATAGACATTATTCCTGAAGTTCCATGAAGATCCCTTTGTCCTGAAGTTCTCTGGTGGCCGGCCAATCATAACAATCCATCCCAATCAATCTGAAAAGAAAGAAATGAATTCTCAAAATCTTATTCCCAGTGATTATTCCCAGTGATTACGTACAGATACATGTAATTGCACCCATATATGATATTTATACACATACCAATATAAAAATATAGCAAAAAAAACACTAATAATTACATACCTATGACTGGATGTAGGTGGACACATGATTATCTAATGTCCTCCAGGCTCGTAGGACGTGTCCAGCTCCCTTTTCCTCTTCATTCCTCTTTGCTTCCGTTGTCCCTTCATGTTCTTCTCCATTAATTCAAGTTGTTTTTGAGTCACTGCTGAACGTCTGTAGCCCAGTGCTGTGTCCAGACAGCTCCTCTACATCCACTATTGTAGTCAGCAACAGCATGGCTGACTGCGAAATCAGCATGCCTCTTGGTTTGATATTTGGCTATATTGCAGTAACACCATATGCGGTGATGCAGACTTTCATTACAGTTTTGCGTTCTGCCTTTTATACAACGCTGTAGTAGTTGTGGTAGTAGTAGCAGTGGAGGTAGTAGTTGTGGTAGTAGCAGCAGTGGAGGTAGTATAGGTAGTAGCAGCAGTGGAGGTAGTAGTTGTGGTAGTAGCAGCCGTGGTGGTAGTAGTTGTGGTAGTAGCAGCCGTGGTGGTAGTAGTTGTGGTAGTAGCAGCCGTGGTGGAGGTGGGCATATTTGCGGGGCTCCTATATTTTGTCTTCCTTGTTTCTGAACGTGAAATATCCAATAGTTCAGTAGCGGTGAACAAGGACAGGTGTTGAGAGGAGGGTGGTGGTACTAGCATCGTGGCGGCGTCACCAACCACAGCAGCTGCTGCTCTCTTTGCTTGTATAGACCTTATCATTGCTTCTATGTGCCTTTTCCTCTTGCTGCTAATGTTCTTGGCAAACTGTTTCTTCTTTGCAGGCATTGTGTACCAAAAATGTATACAATGAAAGGCAAAAAGTAACGTCCCAAGGGTAGTCAACTAGAAACTACAGTAAAGAAACAATGGTAAATAGGCTACACAATTGTGACTGGACAGAGATAACAAGTTGCACGGACGTAAACGATGCCTGGGGAAAAAATTTAAAACAATGTTCACTACCATTCTTAATAATATTGCAAACCCGTTAAAGAGGTTAGGATTAAACGAAGAACTGAACCCTGGATGAATACTGAGATATTAGATAATATGAAATTCAGAGACCAGCTGCTAAAAAGTTTAAAAACAAACAGACAGGATATTGCAGCACTAAATGAATTCCAAAGGGTGAGGAACAGAGTAAAAGAGCCCTTAAAAAGGAGAAAAAGGCCCAAAGGGCACTACTCCCAAAAATTTGGGAAGAAAAATAAGCAAAACCCCAAAAAAGGGCTCGGGAAACCCAATAAAAATTTGGGGGTATAGCCAAAACCAGTAGATAGGCCCTAACTATTTCTAAACTATCCCGGATAATGGGTTCCCAACAAAACCCATCAAAAGGGGGCAAATTGTTTTAAATTTTCCTACTACACATCGTTTGCATCAACACTAGAAGTAAACTAAACCAGCTGAAATCAAAACCTTTAACACAGACTCTGATAATTTTCCCAAACATAAAATCCCAAAAAAAGGGGGAAACCCCCAAACATTGTCAACTAGTAATGTATCCCCATGATTTTTTCCCAATTAAAAAAGGAACAAAAGCAGGAAAAAACCCAACTAAGAGCACGGGCCCCTGATAACATCCCGTCTAAGTTTCCTAAAAGATGGGTTTTTAAAAAATTTCCCAACCCCCTATTGCCACAAAAATAAATCTTTTCAAAAACCACAATACCGTACCGGGGGTTTTTCAAGGGGGCCCCAGATTACTCCTTTTTTCAAGAAAAATAATGGGCTGATTTAAGAAACCCTTATAGCCCTTTTAGTTTTACTCAGTTTTAATATCTAAAATTTTTGGAGAGGGGGGGTGTATTCTCAAGTATTTAAAAAGTCCCTTTAAAAGACAACAGCATTCTCCATAGCTACCCAATCGGGGCTTTAGAAGATCATACCCCAACCCGATCCCTCCCTTTTTTTAATCTGATGGATTACCTGAAAACAAAAAATTCAAAAAAACCTCATGGGTTTAAAAAACCCTTTAAGACCTGCAAAAGGCCTTCGATACTGTCAACCCAATTATTATTAATAAACCCCAAAGCTAGGGAATGGGTTTCTGTAGACGGGTTTAAGTCCTCCCTTTTAGCAACAGGAACAAATAGTCAAAATCAAAAAAAAAGGGAAATTTCAAAACCCCCTGCCGATAACATTTTGGAGTTCCCCAAGGTAGTATTCTGGGTCCCTTACTATTTCTTTTATGTCAATGATAGCCTATCAGTGTCAATGCAAACTCCTACTGTATGCAAAAGACAGTGCTCTTTTAAGTGAAAAGGTAAAAAACCCACAAGATATTGCTAATTTTTTAACACGGGAAACTGGAGTCCTGCAGCAAATGGTTAGTAGACAAAAAAACTATCTTTAAATTACACCTGGGGAAAAAACTAAAACCCATTCTTTTTGGAACGAAACATAAACTGAAAAGGGGTAAATAATTTTAATGTTCTTTGAAAGGGGGAGTCCATCCACTTTTGGTTTCATCATTTAAAATTTCGGGGAATCCCCTTTGCCCCATGAAATGTCAGGAAAAAATTTAAAGGGGAAAACAGTGTAGTAAAGAAAGCGAATGCCAGGCAAATTCCTGTATAGCCCAAGCACAGTGTCTACCTATTTAGGCTCGAAAGGCCCTATTCTAGCCCTTTTTACAATCCCCAAATAGGATTACGCTTGCTCTTTTTTTGGTACTCTCCCTTTTGAAAAAAAAAAACTGAAAGATAGACTGAAAATCACCCAGAACAAAAATCGTAAGTTTCCCAATCCTGGGGCGGGGACCAAGAAAAAACATTTAGGCCGGGATGAATTACCTTTTTTGGATATGCTAAAATGTTGAAGACAGAGTAAAACAACTGAAGCTAAACCCTTTTTTAAAAAATTGCTCACGAACAGGGGCCCAAAATTTTATCTTGCTGTAAAAATTTTTGTCAATTTTGGGGAAACCCAAAAAGCAACCCATATACTAGGGGGAGAGACACAATTTTTGGAAAGTCCCCCACGTCAGTGGCCAGGCTTAAAAACACCTTTATTGTACAGCAAAAAAGGGGAATGGAACAACTACCCAAAAATGCCAAGGCCATCATAGCTTGAACCAGTTCAAAAAGACGCCAAAAAGTGTCTGATGAATGAAGAAACCCAAAAAGGGGAGGGGAATGATTTTCTTTTTTTAAAGCTAAAATACGTGAAAAATTTTAACCTTATCCCTAGAAAATGACCCTCGTTTTGGTAGATAGTCGAAAATGACCCTCGGGTAGTAATAGCCTTAAAACCCGAAAATTGTAAAATACCCTTAATGACCCTCGGTAGAAAGATAGTTTTTTTAGAAAATGAATAAGAGGGTTATTTTCATTATAGAATAATAAAAAAAATTTTAAAACCCTTTATATTAAAAAAAAGGTAAAAAAAACCCCAAGGGAAAAATAAGTAAACCTGATTTTTTGGGGTTTTACCCCAGGTTTCCCTACACATAGGGCTGCTATGTATGATAATTCAAAGTAACTGTTTTGTGTGTACCGAATAAATTTACCCCCTTATTTTCCCTTACTATTTCAGCTGTCAGACAAAGTGACAAAAACCACTCTCTCCTCAGATTTCCCCAAGTGGGCACTAAATTTGATATGGTGGGGAGCAGCCCCCTTCCACAGCTAACCTGAGGGTTTTTGCCGGGTTACTATTTAAAGATCTACAAAAAAATAAAACCAAAAAAAAAGGGGAAAAAAATACCGGGGAATTTTTTTTATAAAGCAGTGCGCTGGAGCACGGGGTTATTTTATGGTCAGCGGGGCCCCCGTAAATGCTGGACGAAGTTCCCATTGTTATAATTACGATATTTTAATTTAATTTTTTTTTATATTTTTTTTTAAAAACCAATACATTTTTAACAAAAAAAAAAAAAAAAACAGAAATGGAACCTAATAAAATTAAAACTGACAAAAGGGAAAATTGGGTACCTACATGCTCGAAAGAATTACAAACAAAAATTCATCAAAAAACATAACTAAAAAAAAAATTTACATGTCACGGGGTCATGAATTGACATATATACAAAACCTTTTTGGATATATATAAATTTGTACATATAAATGACATCTGACAAAGGTTCAAAAACACTTAAACTTAAAATTATAAAAAGAATTTATATCTTTTAAACCCCCATCCTTCACATTAATCAAAAAACCAAAAACCAACATCATAATCTGAAAAGATAATCTACATACTTATCCCTAACAATACAGGGTGAACATATCCCAACAAAAAAATAAACAGAAAAAGAATACAGCTTTTGAACACAATAACAAGCTCTATACTGGGTTTCAATACACCCATGCATTGTTTCCCCATCGCTGTTGGGCCGGCGGAACCCCCCACTGCGCAGGGACTCCCCACTACACCTGGGTTTTTTTCGCAGTTTTTTTCTCCGTTCAGGGCATGGCCCGGGGTAAAACCGGGAGGAGGATTAACAAAGTTTTTGCATTTAGCTGTTGAGGGATCTCTGAGCCCTGCGACGATGAACGTCATTCTTTCCGAATTATTAGGGTTTTCATGGTTTTCCCCCCAAAGAGGAACTTATGGTGTGGCCCTTATGGGGGGAAAAGAGTATTTTTTTTTTGAAGTTTCCTTGGGGGACTGCTACTAAGCAGTGTGGTGGGGAGTACCCCGGAACGCCGAATTGCCTCAATCGACGTGGTGGGGCATGCATTCGTGTTACTTACTATAAAGGGGTACGAGTGAGGAATGTACCTTTGAGGCAACTAAGTTTGGGATAGAGGGAAATTTTTTTGCAAGTATGGGGTCATTCATGAACCAGAAAGGGGGGGTTATGGCGGGAAAGGGGCCAAATGAGGGCCTCTCGGGAAAGGGTCAACAACATCAAGATTTAACCCTTTAAAAACGCCTATACCCCTTTGTATGTCCAAATTTGACAAAGGGACCAGAAATCCCGGTATATTTGTCGTAAATTTGGGGAAAAGGGGGAACGTGTCGTCTTTTGCGGGTCTTATGACCATATAAGGGGGCGCAATGTGCACGTTTGAATTTCCCCGGGGGTGTCCCGGGCCCCCGGGGGAGGAGGTCCCGGGAAACAATGGGGGTGGCGGCGGCGAAAAACTGGGAAATCCTCTATGGAGTTTAGGAGGGGGAGAAGGGGGTGAAAAAGATAGGGGCGTGGGGTCCCCACCCCGGGGGGAGGGGGGGAATCCTACCCAACGCC